ACATCTAAAACATGCAGGATTGCGGCCCTCGAGGACCGGATGTCGACACCCCTGGTGTAGGCAAACTAAAACATTAAAGCCTTTAAGACCTGGTGTTAATTTATGGCTCCTTAAAATAGTGGGCATCCTAGCTTTACAAGCCAGTAAGAATTTTACTGATCATGAACTGAGGAACCAATAGTCCTTCAGTGTAAACTTAGAATAAAAAATAAAATAAAGCATTACATCAGAGCTGTGGAGAACCTGTCATACAAGCAAATGCTAGATAACTGTTTTATCTTCATTTATTTGTATCAAATATTGCAGCTGATCTTGTCTCTGTATTTAATCCATGCAGCTGAAACGTGAATTTGATGTTTTATTTTGAAAAGAACATTTGCTCTTTTCCTGGATTGCACCTTATTCTTCTTGGCAAATTTGCAACAAAACCAAAGAAAGTGAGTATTTTAACTGTGGGACTATTAGCAGAGTTTAACAAGACAAAATGCACCAAAATGTACAATATATGAAAATTTATTGTTATCATTTAAACAAAGTTAGTCAGATAAATTAGCTCCATACTGCATGAACCTGAGTAAACATTGCATAGAACTGAAAAACAATAACACATTTAAAGTCATGCATAAATACAAAATGAGTAGTATTTTCCTGGTGGCTAAAATCCAAACCTTTGCAGAATCTTTTACATATCGGAAACAAGTCACAATGCTGCCACTCATGGATGAATACTGGGAAATAAGACCAACACTTAGTCCATAATGACCACCTCACTGTGTCTAATGGCTGGTGTTCAGCACAAACAAGCAGATTGATTTCAAAGTGCCTTTTAGGAAGATATACTAATCAATTAGTCAATAGTTTAATGGAAAGCCATCACCAGCTCACTCCATTCACATCTTAAATAAATGACGTGTATCATATATTGCCAGTGTTATACACAGTGCTCAGTGCAAACATGTGCACCAACAGGATGTTCAGTGTTGTGACAGCACGTTTTAGGGTTCTTGCTTTGAACAGAGAACACAGCAGTTCCACCTGGATGGATGGCCTCCGTCTCAGGGCTGACACAGTGTGGGCCTCATGGTGACGAAGGGAAAGCTGTAGGTGTGTGGGAGACCCTGATGAGTCGTGAGGTTGAAGGATCGCCACGAGAACGGACGCAGGCCCCCCTGCGTCGTGGGGCCATTTATTGCCTCAGCGACCAGCTGGAGAGCCATCTGGTAGTCTGTCACCTGCACCACGAGGCGGAGATGAGGAGGGAGGGAACCAGGAGGGGATGGAGTAAGTAACAGGGAGAATCATTTATAAAGATATGAACAAAAAATGATATTGTCATTTTACTTAGGTTGGGTTCAAAAAGTGAAGGTTTCAGGGCAATCTTTAAAAAAAACAGATTCAGTTTTTCCTCTCAGTTGTTTTTTTCCTTTAGAGCTGTCAAGAAAGCTTCAGTTATTCATACTAAAAAACATTACTGAAGAAAGAGGTTAAAGCCTTTTGAATTTGGTGGTTCCCTGAGTTTTCCTTCAGGGCCACTGGGTTAAATTTTTCCATATAGTGAAATAACTTGACTTCTTCTAAATGTCTCAGAGGACAAATCCTAATGATGTTAGTGACCACCTGATGTTCCCTCTAGCACCACCAGTAGGGAGACATTTGTGGTTTATAATATAATTCCATGAAGGCCACTGGTCATTTAGCAATTTAGCATCAACATCAGGACAAAATCCAATATATAATTGAAAGACTAAATGACTGAACTGGTGCCAAAACAACTAAAGAAAACCACATATTATTGTTTAACAAATATTTTTGGAACTTGGGAACATAAAGGACCTGGATGACAGCAGTAAGCCATTAACCAAAGGTTGCATTTTTCCTGAACAAAAACACATTAGAAACACATCTGTCACCACTTATATCAGGGTTGATTCTGTCCCTGATGTCCTCTGACCTTCGTGTCATAGCAGCCTCCTGGTCGTGGTCTCCTTGGCCTTAGGTCGTTACGGCAACAGATGGTTTTACAGGGATGGCCCTTGGAGTACGGGTCTCTCTTGTAATCTGAAACAGAACCAATTATTTGTGATTCTGTCACACCTTGTGTTTAGGAATGATTATAAAGTTTGAGGAATGTCAGCGGTATTGTTCCACCTACTGTTGTATCTCATCAGGAGTTTGAGAGAGCTGAGGTCAGACACCTTGGCCTGGTCCCTGCGGAGGATTTTAGCTCGAGGACAGAGATCGTAGGAGAAGTCTTCTCCATATCTCTTCCACATCACACTGTACCCACTCAGGTTGTAGATTTCAACGTGAAATGGGATGTTATATGACGGCCAGTAACCTGCCAAAAGTAGCACACTGAAGCTAGTGGCCGTCCAGACACTAAAACATCCAATCTGGATCAGACTGAAAAGCTACTGAAGCAGCAGGTGGCTTCTTACCTCTTCGTAAAGCCTGAGTCTGATCAGAGTGCATCACCTTCCCAGGAATCTGCTCTACAACAGTCAGAGCTCCGTTCTTGATGCTGTGACGCAGAGAAACTCTGCTCAGGTCCACCACCATGTACTGGCTGTTATATGTACCTGAAACACAGAGGGGAGGATGAGCTCCGCTTCCACCCACACACGTTTGACATATGTAAACCCTCACAGTGACCAATTTGCTGTCTTCATTGTCATTGCTGAGCTACACCGATGTTCATTTGCAAGCAGGTAAAGCTGTCGAAACTCTCTATGCCGGCACATCTGAGAATGCTTGGACAGTTAAGAATGTAGAAGTAAGCTGATGAAAAGGAGATGTGTTATCAGAAACCAAAGCCAGAGGACATAAACCAACAACATTAAAACCACCTGCCTAATATTGTATAAGTTGCTTTTGTTTCACTCAAACAGCTCTGACCTGTCAAGGTCTGGACTCCACAGGCCTCTGAAGGCGTCCTATGGTATCAGGCACCAAGACGTCAGCAGAAGGTCCTTTAAATCCTGGAAGTTGTGAGGTGGAGCCTTGATGGATCAGACTAATTTTTCCAGCACATCCCATAGATGTTTGATCAGATTGACACCTGGGGAATTTGGAGGCCAAGTCAACACCTTGAGCTCTCCCCAAAACACATCTTGGAAAATGTTTCTAGTGTTGCAGGGAGCATTATCCTGCTGAAAGAGGGAGATACTTTTGCCACGAAGGGGTGGATATAGTTCAAGCAACATCCACATGAAGGTAGGACCCAAGGTTTGCCAGTATACATTGATCAGAGCATCACACTGCCTCCACCAGCTTGCCTTTTTCCTGTAGTGCATCCTGCTGCCACCTTCTCCTGGTAAGCAATGCACACACATCCAGCCATCCACATGATGTAAAAGATAATGCGATTCATCAGATCAGGCCCAGTATTGATGCTCAGGTGCCCTTTATTAGGTAGTTTTGAAGGTGGACAGGAGTCAGCATGGAAACTCTGAGTGGTCCGTGGGTATACCGTCTCAGATGGAGCAAGTTGTAGTGCACCCGTGAGCCTGTCATTGTTTTACAAGTTGTCCTTACTTGGGCCACTGTTGGTGGATGCTAACCACTGCGTACCCTAGATACCCCACAAGACCTGTTGTTTTGGAGATGCTGTGACCCAGCTGTCTAGCCACCTGGCTCTTCTCAAAGTCACTCAGGTCTTTA